CTTGAGTGTCCCGTTGTTTACTGAGGGTGAGAGCAAAAGAAGAGTGGAGAAGGGATGGGGAGGGGGTTGCTGAAGTGTGAATTTCTGCGGTACAATTGGGTTGGCTGTGGCGCCTGGCTGCCTCCCTGCCCGCCCTTCACTTACCCCCTCGCTTCCTCTCTACGTCGCACTCACTAACCCGCCTCCCCCTCCCCCTCTCCTTCGGCCTCTAGCAGGCCACTCAGTGGGACACAGGTAGGAGCTGCTGGCTCTCAGCAGCTCGGCCCCCGCTCCGCCCCGCGCGCGCTCCGCTCTCTGCCACGACAACCTTAATGCGGGCGACACAGCAGCGCCGGCGTCATCACTTCCGCAAAGCAGAGCGCAGCGGGAGGACGTCCTAATGCCTGCATTAGGGGGCCCTGCTGGACCGAGCCCGCCGCGCCCTGCCGATCCCCGCCGCGCCCTGCCGCTCCCCGCCGCGCCCCGGCCACACGCCCCGCCGCGCCCCACCGCACGCCCCGCCACGCCGCGGCACTCGGCTAGCGGCCCTTAATTAGTCGCCAACAATTACGGACCACCGCCACCTTTCTTTTTATCCTGAATAATGAATGAGGGCCAGGTGTGCGCGAGAGGCGGGGGACGGGGAGGACGGCGGCGCGGCGAGGAAGAGGGAGGAGGGGAGGAGTTCCCCGTAGGGGCCGGCCCTTCTCGCCGGTACACCCACCCTTCCCCTCTTAGCAAAGTAAATGGCCACGTAAGAGGAGGAGGCCAGCCTGCTCTCTCCGCAAGAAAATGTTTTGTCCCAGCATCCGGCACTTCATGCGGCGGCTGACGCTGACGCGTTGACCTACAACAGTTTTGCGTCCCGCTCCGCATCCACTCATGCTTTTGCTGCACGCTGAACGTTTCCCGCCTCCATTCCCTTATCCCCCCCCCCCTCTCTCTCTCTCTCTCTCTCTCTCTCTCTCTCTCTCTCTCTCCGATCATTCTCTCTTTCTCTGCCCCGTTCTCCTCGGACCGCCTACTTTATACGAGTTGTCATTTTCCTCCCGGGAGCCGCATTCTTTCTTCTTCCAACTTGCCGCCGCTTGTGAGTCGGCCGGAGCCAGCCAAGAGCGCCGGGC